TTTTTCCAAGAATTACTTGCATATTTACTAAAAAATGGTTCTAAAAATATTTTTACCAAAAGCACTTTCAGTTATTTTAAAATTACATTCAAACGAGCCATAACCTATCAAAGATTGGGTACGAACCATAAAGGTGCATTATGCAACCGGGACCAAGAACGAATCTTGGGGCAACTAAAATGCCTAATACTCTTATTTGTGAAGTAAAATACTCCAAAGTCACATTTGGTTGAGTCGTAACACGAGTAATCAAAGGCAAAATAAATACTGTTTCTTTCTACCTTCTAACCATAGGGGTACGATATACGGCGGAATGATGGTTGCTCACAAATAATACCCGATCACCAAGTTCAACAACCTCCATCCATTGTGGACCACCATCAAAATCGCATTTCAGTTTGAACACTCGAAATGCTTTAGTCTTTGGGTTACTCAGTGTAACTAAATGCCTTTCCAAGCATGCCCTTATGCCAAGGATTGGCTATTAAACACATTTCTTGTTTAGGCTTTTATGCAGAGTCTGCCTTATGAAAAATCATAAATAACTCCATAGATGTAGAATCTTTTGGTAGGTGAACGAAATCACAGCCATTGTAATGCTATACTCTTGATCCATCATATTCAACGAATTTGCACCAATTGGACGTCTCCACCTGCATCAGCCACAGACCAGGTCAATGAGGTCATAGTCTGAGGAGATAAGCTGCCTACATCGTACCAAAATCAGAGGAGATAAGATGATCTTGTCCAATCTTAGTCTTAGCTAGGGGGTGCCTACTCCTACCTCGACTCTGACCCTAAGACCATCTTCAATTTGTGGCCTAAAATTTAAAATTTTTAACCAAGAAAATTTAGGTTTTAACCCATAAAAAAATCTTCTTCTCTCACCATTCTGAGCTAAAATTTTAGCCCGAGATTATTAAAAAAGAATTTAGATTAATTTTTTACTTAAAGTAACTTTTTTTTAAATAAAAATTTGTATAGACTATCCTAATTTAATTTTATGAACATTTTAACCTAAAAATATTTAAATTCTGACAAATACTGAAAAATCACTAACCGACACAATGAAACTCGTTAAACAATATGAAAAAATATGAAACAAATGAAAGATTTTTTTTTTAAATTATTTTAGCCGCTAGATTTAAATTTGGACAGTTAAATTTTTTTTTTTTACCGTTGAATTTTATTAAATTAGATCTTAACCGTTGGATTAAATGAATTTATAAATATAAAATAAAATAATATATATATATATATATGGTGGGCCAGGCCACTAATTCTGGGCTAAATTTGGCTTCCATTGAGTTTTAGGTTTTAGGCCATATTTTAGCCTTGGGTTGGGTTGAGTTTTTGGGGGAATAGAAGTGGAAATTTGAGTTTTAACCTAGGGTTGGAGAATGTCTAAACAATAAAAACAAAGCGTCAAAAAAGGGTTTAGGACAAGTCCAGTGTCTAAGCAGCTGGTGATCCGCCATCAGCATTTGTAGTACAAGCGTCACATTTGCGGAGTCCAAGTTTTAGGAAGGGGATCTTTGGATCACTTTCATTAAATCCACTCAATCAATGAATATGAGTCCTTGAAATTTAATCCAACGGCTAAAAACATAAAGCCCTTTTAAAAATTATAATAACTTTAGCCGTTAGATCAAATTTCAAAGATCCGAATTTATTGATTTGGTGGATTTGATGGAAGGGATCTGCAGAAGATCATTTTCCCAAGTTTTACACCCATTGGCAGGGTCACTAGGACCCACCTCCTCTTCACTCCTCAATTGGAAATCTGGAATTCAATTCAACCTTGTTCAAGTAGATATGATATTATTGTCTCCTTAAAAACATTGTTAAATTCCATCTCCTAGATTTTAATTGTTCTTTTATTACGATTTTGATTACGATTTTATCCATCATAACATATGGTGGAATGGTGGTTGCTCACAAATAATACCCGATCACCAAGTTCAACAACCTCCATCCATTGTGGACCACCATCAATATCACACTCCAGTTTGAACACTCGAAATTCTTTAGTCTTAGGTAGCTCAGTGTAACTAAAGATCTTTCCAAGCATGACCTTATGCCATGGATCGGCTACTAAACACGTTTCTTGTTGAGGCTTGTATGCATAGTCTACCTCATGAAAAATCATAAACAACTCCATTAGATGCAGAATCTTTTGCTAGGTGAACGAAATCACGGCCAATTTAATGTTCAGTCCTTTTCCACCTAATCCACGTAGTTCGGTATCCAGACCATTGAAATTTGATCCAACGGTTAAAAACACAATGCTCATTTAAAAGTTATAATAACTTTAACCATTAGATCAAATTTCAAGGACACGAATTCATTGATATGATGGATTTGATGGAAGGGATCCGAAGAGGATCCCTTTCCCAAGTTTTACACCCATTGGCAGGGTCATTGGGACCCACCTCCTCTTCACTCCTCAATTGGAAATCTGGAATTCAATTCAACCTTGTTCAAGTAGATATGGAATTATTTTCTCCTTAAAAACAATGTTAAATTCCATCTCCTATTACGATTTTGACTGTTCTCTTGTAACGATTTTCTCCATTATAACACACGTGCTAACTTTTAAAGATTTTAGAACATATAATGGGAACAATATCCAAAAAACCATTTCCCGCCTCCGGGCTGAGTTGCGGGTGGTTCTATCCTGGGTATCCAAAAAACCAGTAATACCTTTGCACTCCTTCTATAATAAACTTAAAGCAAGACCACCCATGAACCTCGAACCTACTTCATTAGGCTTAATCCAAAGATATTAGTATTATTTCCCCTAACTTAAGTACAATGGTGCATGTTGTGTTACGGCACAAGACCTCTGATTTTCTAAAACCCTCAAGTTTTTAGTCTAATAGAGACGATCTATAAATCTAAATCCGATCACGTATGTACAATCTGTGATTAATGTAACCATTTTTGTTCATGTAGCTTGGGAGCATTAAAATTTCGACTTTAATACACAACTGTACATGTACACTTTTTTATTTATGTCGCACAAAGATTATAAAACCGACCATGCAAATTGATGAATACTCCACATTCATCTAACTTATGAAAAGAGAGATTTGAACTCGAATGCAAGTGACATATCCCAAACCTACGACATGCTTGGGGATTCAAACCTGCGCTTATATATTTTCAAAGATTTAATTCACAAAACTGTAAATTCTGAAAGTGCAAAAAAACAATATAAAGAGCAAAAGTTAATTAAGTGGTGCTATGTTCAATTAATATAGCGGATGCAATCTGCGACCATATTAATTAAAGCCCAAATAATGAGGAGTAAATATTAAACGACATTGTTGTTGTAACTATTCGAGATTTATTTGTTTAATATATAGTTCTATTATATTTAATTAAAGTGCTTTGTTAAATTATGTTTTTTTTTCATAAATCAATGAAACATTATTATGATATCCCACATCGCCCAGGGGAGTGATCCTTATATGTATATTCTCATCCCTACCTAGCACGAGGCATTTTGGGAGCTCACTGACTTCGGGTTTCGTAGGAACTTCGAAGTTAAGCGAGAGGGGGGCTAGAGCACTCCCATGATGGGTGACCCACTGGGAAGTTATCGTGTGAGTTCGCAGAAACAAAACCGTGAGGGCGTGGTCGGGATCCAAAGCGGACAATATCGTGCTTCGGTGGTGGAGTGGGCCCGAGAAGTGGTCCGCCCTGGGCCGGGATGTGACAATTGGTATCAAAGCCTAACCCTGGTCGTGGTGTGTCGACGAGGACGTCGGGCCCTTAAAGGGGGTGGATTGTGACATCCCACATCACCCAGGGGAGTGATCCTTATATGCATATTCTCATCCCTACCTAGCACGAGGCCTTTTGGGAGCTCACTGGCTTTGGGTTTCGTAGGAACTTCGAAGTTAAGCGAGAAGGGGGCTAGAGCACTCCCATGATGGGTGACCCACTGGAAAGTTCTCGTGTGAGTTCCCAGAAACAAAACCGTGAGGGCATGGTCGGGGCCTAAAGCGGACAATATCGTGCTACGGTGGTGAAGCGGGCCCGAGAAGTGGTCCGCCCCGGGCCGGGATGTGACAATTGGTATCAGAGCCTAACCCTGGTCGTGGTGTGCCGACGAGGACGTCGGGCCCCTAACGGGGGTGGATTGTAACATCCCACATCGCCGAGGGGAGTGATCCTTATATGTATATTCCCATTCCTACCTAGCACGAGGCCTTTTGGAAGCTCACTGGCTTCGGGTTTCGTAGGAACTTCGAAGATAAGCGAGAGGGAGGCTAGAGCACTCCCATGATGAGTGACCCACTGGGAAGTTCTCGTATGAGTTCCCAGAAACAAAACCGTGAGGGCATGGTCGGGGCCCAAAACGGACAATATCGTGCTACGGTGGTGGAGCGGGCCTGGGAAGTGGTCCGCCCCGGACCGGGATGTGACATTATAATTAAATTTTGTTTCTCAAATAAAAAGGGGTACATCTTAAAAATCTAATAAGATAACCTAATAATTATATGTACCCAAACCAATTTGTGGTGCTAGGTTTGTCTTCACTAAGATTCGAGGTGCCATGTCCGTCATCACTGAAAAGATTTATTCTTCTTGTCACTTTCCTTCATTCGTGCCTTCAAAAAGCTTTTGTGTTCGGTGATGCTTTGTCGTCAACCTTCATGAACATAGCTTTTCGATCTCTTTTATCAAACACAAGTTCCTTGCATACTCAACTTGACTTCTATAAAATGCAGCACTCTCTTTGTCAATCTCACCTCTTAGCGTCGTCTCTTTTGGAACTCTTGCAATCCACCACGAGCACTGTGCCCGTTAGTAATCTGGATGTGATAAAAAGTCGTAGTTTCTACCACGGACTATGCCTTTGGTCAAATGTGAGATAAACATGGATTGTGCCCTTGCTAGATTGAGATCTAACACCACATTCATTATGGCTGTTGTGAATTACAAATTGACCACGGCTAATGACCGTCATAAAAAATTTTCCAAAAATAAAATAATAATAATAATAAATCATTTAATATATAAACAAATTTACTACAATACAATAATTACATAAAGAAATCACAAAATCAAATATTACAAACTGCACACTAAAGCTAACGACGAGTTGTACTAGAAATATCAAACTATCCACAAGGTATCAAATAGGCCTCCAATAACAAGAACACTTGAAGACTTCAGATTTCTTTGAACATCTCCAAACAAAGGACCTTGAGAGTGAACTACTGCCCCTAATACTTGAGCCTCAGCAATTGCTGCCTCTCTCTATTTGCATGGACTTAAGCATATGGATCACAAGAAAAAAAAAAAAAATATTGTACTCGTATAGGTGGAAATATACATTTGATCTCAATCAAGAAAAGTAAATAGAGTTTCTGCCTCTAAACCCTTCTACTCATGCATTCCTTTATAATAAGAGGAGTCCTTTGAGAAAAGATAAACACATGATTAAATTATGAACCTACTAAATAGAGCCACTGCGTATAATTCTGCAAATATATACTATACAAGATTAACCAAACCAATAGCATAAACAAAGATTTTTTAAATGGAAAGTTAAAAACCGACAGCAAGTGTGAATGTAAATGTACTCAGCCAGGTCGAGATGCAAATCGTCTTTTAAATGGAAAGTTAAAAACCGACAGCAAGCCCTGCAAGGCCTAGGACACCTTGAACAAAATACCATGGCAACAGCCACATTGTCAGGGCACAATTCGACCCCAAAAATTTTCACACTGCTCGTTCTATGCTTGGTCATGCTTGGAGAAGGCATGCTTGCCTCCTAGTTATCAACATATCCCTTTCTCTTGCACCTTATCGTATTGAACGAAAACTAAGTAAAGCATTAATCTTTATCACATTTAGCCAAAATCGAATTGTTAAAAAACATACTTATTCATAATTTCACTTTAATTGCAGAATAATCACGGTATCATTTCAATAAATGGAATTAAATTTTAATATCTTTACAAAGAAATCGAGAGACGTACAAATCCTGGAATTGAGGAATGGCTGGTCATCCAAGTCGAGCCGGCGACTGGGCGAGGCCATGGGGACGGCGACCGACATATCGTTCTCTAGAGAAAGCTTCCAGCGGGCTCTGCGTCAGTGATGAGTTCTTGTGTGGGTGCCGGACAGAAGACGGTTGCGATTTCGAAGAAGAGGGGGGCGGGGCTTTGGGGAGAGAAATGAGTAGTTTGGAGATTTCAGAGAAACCGCCGAAGGGAGCGAATGGGTGAGACTGGGTGGGTTGGTGGTATCAGGTCTGGAATTGGTATATAGATTGGGTTTGATCGAGTTGGTTCTGATAACAAATTTGAGAGTAATATTAAATAAATTAATCTACAACATTCATATACCGTGATTGATTTCAAGAAGGCGCTGTGATTAAATTTATTTCAACAACAGGCTACCCTTGTGGTCATATCAAATAACTGCAACGAGCTTTTCTTGCGCGTTATTATTCTAACATGTTCTATTACGGGCCAATTTTGCCCGTTGTTAAAACCATTTACTCACAACGGACTTTAAATGTCCGTGGTAATATTGGATATTCTACAACGAGTCTTTTATGTCTGTGGTCAATTAACTGTGATAAATGTGGTGCTGTCTTGTAGTGGATGGTGACAACTGACAAGGCCGAGCCCTCTCTTCTCTCTTTTTCCAACCCGAAGTGCATTGATGTGAATAAAGCAGCAAAAAATAAAAACAACAAAATAGTACGTACTGAGAAGTCCTGGTTGGTCAATCAATAACGTGCTTTCGTTGCACGCATGCACATAATGCATTGATATGCCCTACCAAATCCTTAGTCCCTCGTCGTATATGTTACATAGACAACACCAACTTTGTGGTAACTTTAAATGAGTGTTATTACACCCCATTACTCTCACCCACCAACCTCCTCTCATACTTTAATTGCAAAACCTACCAAGTTGAGACATGAAAACCCTAAAACCTTCCGCTTCTCTAACACTATATAATAACACTACCACCTTCCCAATTCTAAATCATTTCATACTTCCTTGAGACCCTCATCATTTCCCAATTCATTCTGCATCTTCACGCCTCACTCTCTCTCCCTTCTCAATTCTTCCTAACTCTCGTCCCTGCAAGGATATACTTCCTTTCGAAACACAAGAGGCTTTAGCATCATTTTCCAACTATGAAAAGGTATTGGATCCCATATTTGAAATGTTGTAATTGCTTTTGTTAATTATAGACTTTATAATTTGTAATTTTATTTTAAGATTTATGTATAAGATTTGCTAGTGTGATAAGAGACTTCAAGTTGGTGAAAAACAAAGCAGAGCACAAAAATAACGAATGAAGGATTAATGGTATGCGGACTCTTTCAGGATCCTTTCTGATATGTCGATGAAAGTGGTCAGGAAGGGGAGCAATTGCTGAACCAGTGAGTTAACCAGAAATCAGATTCACCACAGCGATGGTTTGCTTCCATATCTTTCAATGCGTATTAATTGTGCTGTTTATTTATTTTAATTATTCCAGCTGTCACAACCATAACATCCTACATATATCACCTTCACATCATGATTCCATTTGTGATTTTGGATTTAATTATAGTAGGGATCATCCATCGATATAGGGCAAAAATCACCCGAAGGTAGTCGAGTTCTTAGGAATCGAATACTTCAAGAGAAGTAATAGAGGTATTTTTATGGGCTTTAGGACTCTACTTACAAAATATCATTGACCCCGAATGCATAATTTGCCTCTTCGCCCTACTGAACTGTTCGTATTACCTAATTTCCTTTGTCCTGTTTCTGAGACATACTAAAGTTCTAATTTTTCTAGAATTTGCACTAGAAATAAATGTCGTTATTTTAGTACATATTTAGAAAATTGATTGATAGTGGCAAAAAACTTAAAAGGTTACGAATATGGATTATTTGGTCAAAAGAACAGAGATGCAAGTTGTAATTGATAGACCAAATAATCCATATTTGTAACCCTTAAGTTTTTTGCCATTATCAATCAATTTTATAAAATGTACTAAAATAACGGCATTTATTCCTAGTGCAAAGTCCAGAAAAGTTAGAACTGTAGTATGTCTCAGAAATAGGACAAAGGAAATCGGGTAATATGAACAGTTCAGTAGGGTGAAGAGGCAAATAATGCATTCGTGGTTAATGATATTCTGTAAGTAGAGTCCTAAAGCCCATATAAATACCTCTATTACTTCTCTGAAGTATTCAATTTCTAAGAACTCGACTAACTTAGGAATGATTTTTGCTCTATATCGATGGATGATCCCCACTATAATTAAATCCAAAATCACAAATAGAATCATGATACGAAGGTAACATGAGGGTATTTTTGTCAAATCATTTGGCCCATTGTTTATTAAATTGAGGGTATTTTTGTCATTTTGGTCTTTATTCAATATAATTTTTCATGGAATGACCAAAATGATTGATGGTGAACAAACTCAGGGATCACTTCTATTGATTTCAAATCTCAAGGACCAAAGTGATGTGTTATGCAAATCTCAGGGGCTATTTTAGCTAAAAAGCTATGTTTTTATCATGGATAATGATTGTGTCCCACACTTTAACATCATGTAAAGATTATATCTGCAAAAAATCAATCAATTTGGATTTCGTTTAGTCATTCATCTGCGTTAGGTTTTAATAACAAGTAGTATCCTTAGAAAGAACCCTACATTTGTTTTATGCATATATATGGCTAAACGATCTCTAAATTGAATGATCTTTTGCGCATATGATCTTTAGATAATGTTAAAGTGAATGAGTTCAAATTATGATGTTCAAACGGTAACAATTCGTTAATCGTAATTGAGGGGACAATCAAGTCCCCTATGAGAGTACACAAACATTATCTTTTTGTTATTACAACTGAATGAGTTTAATTTAAAACAATAATATAAGGTCCTTATATACCCTTTTCCAACAATGCTTAACATTTAAGCTAATAGGTGCTGACATGGCACTTGGTGACTTATGGTTAATACTACTATAAGTTAATAAAAAGAGTAATGCTATTGCTAGGCACACTAAAAAAAATGTTAAGAGAGATTATATACGTGTACCATATGATGTGGCAAATTAATGATATATATATGATTAACATTTATATGAAATAAGTTTATTAATTGATGTGGTATGTATATATTACTTGTCACATCATGTAGTACACAAAGGTGATACAAAATGTGATTTCTTTAGCCTTTTTCTAATAAAAAACAAGTACATACTTATAATTTGGGTGAAATAATAACCAACATGATGATATTCCATCCAAAGCAAACAATATGTCACTAACATGGACCTCGCTGGGCGAAATTAAAAAAAAGAAAAAAAAGAAAAAAAAAGAAAAGCTGACTCAGTGAACCTCGTTGGAAAACTGCATGGTTCTGCCACCAAAAAATGGCAATCACAATTGTCTGTTAGGGTGAGAGATCCCTAAATATCCATTTGAAAAAAGAGATGAATAGATAGGGCGGAGCCAGCTGAAGGAAGGAGGTGAAGGAAGGAAGAAGCCAGCTGAAGGAAGGAGCTAAGATTCAAAATGCAGTAATTGATCTTCTTTCAAAGTGAGCAGGTTGAAAGCTGTTGAGGTGATAGCAAGAATAGGTCCAAGCATTCCTCTTTTGGGCTCCTACGTTCCATGCTTTGCAGATACCCAACAATAAAATCCTATCTAGTGGGGGTTACGTAGAAATATTTGACAAACACTGGATTGGTTGAAGAATATTTGTACTCATCACTTATTTATAACTGTTGAATTAGTTTAAATTTTAAGATTTGTGTGGTGGATGAACACAAATTTTAAAATTTAACCGCATTCAATAATAACAAATATGATGGTGAACATTACCATCACTTAAAAGTAATGAGCAAAAATATACATCTACTCGTTGAAACAATGACATAAATAAGTTAGGAAGTTGACTCTCTTCAAAGAAAAAAAGAAAAAGAAAAAAAGGGGTTTAGGGAGTTGCCTCATCTTCTCCTTTCCCACGCATTATATTACCCATGAAAATTAAAATAGGGGTGGTAGACTTTCACTAGTGGGATCATTATCTAATTAAGAATCTTAAAATTTGGAATCCAACAGCCTAATGAGATTCCCATGCATAGGGTACTCCCATTTGTTTAAGATTCCCTTCTTTTGTTCTTATTCAGAGACTTTGCAAAAGGATACAATTCGAAGGGTGAATATTATTGTTTCATCCTCCTCCTATAATTCCTTTCATATTTTGATTCTTCTGGTGTTTTGCTTCTTGAATCGTTAATCGGTTGTTTCGGTGGAATTTGTTTCTCTTTAGTTATTGGGATGGTTAAGAAATTCCTTTCCACGGGATTTCAGTTTTTTGGGTTACGCATATATGCATGCTGAAAAAATTATTGCAATGCAATGACAAGTGGTCAAATAACTGTCAAAAGTTGGTCGGTTGTCGCTTTAATGCTACTTATCACTTAATATCTGTTAGATTTAATTGTTGTAATGTTAGATCATTTATTTTCAATTATCAAATGCTATATACTATTAAAGAAAAATTGTATTAAGCGAGAGAATTATAATAAGAATTTGGCCACGAAAAATTTGTGACATGTCCCCAAAACGTTACTATCAATCTTCCGACAAGTTCCGCTAACGTCGGACACTCAGCCTATAAATAACAGCAGCTCACTCCCAACGCTCAACACTCAAGAGAGAGCCTCTCATTCACACCCACCATTTGGGTTCTCACTTTCTCTCTCTACTTTCTCACTCGTCAATGGCGCTCCCTCAAGCGCTCATTTGGCGCCACCAGAGTGTCCCTAGCGCCACCACCGTCGTCGGTTATGCAGATCACCAAACCATCGTGCCTCCGAATGCCGCCCAGGTGAATTACCACAGGGAGTATCTGAACTCGACGGACACCCCCCCCCCCCGGAAAGGATTTTTCCGCCAATTCCTCCACCGCCAGTCAGCATCGAAGCTCCCGGAATTCCTGACTGTTCTGGTTGGGGAGAAGCTCCGGGAAAAGCTGAGAGGCATCAACATTGGCGGTGATCAGCTCTACTCGGCGGTCTCTGCCTTCCGCCTCCAGATCGAAAACCAACCTCCGAGCTTCCGTTCGGAATCTCGATCCGCAATGCAAAGAAGATTCTGAGGCTTTCTCAAGTGGAGAAGCTGAGAGAGATTCAGGAAACTTCCATTTTGCGATCGGAGTTCGTTCGGATCTGCAACGAAGGATGCGAGCGCAAAAAGCAAGGTGCTGAGTTCGCGAAGATGATGGACGAGTCCGCAAACGTTATTGTTTTGGGAAACGTAGTGTTTCTCCGGCTGGAGTAGGTAACTTCTTATTCTTTCCCACTTTTATGTAGATTCTGTTTCTATTGTTGTTTGTGATCTGGTAAAATTACGGAATACACCTTGAGGTCTTGGGTTGAAGAAAACTTTATTATCCTTGGTCGTTTGACATGTATTGAAGACGTTTACATGTAACGAGAGCATCATCGTTGATTTTGGGATCTAGAAAATAAGACACATCAAGTATTTTGATCCTGTAATACAATGACATGTAAAACTGTGTGATTTGTTTGTTATATCACCTCATTGCAGAAAAGTCGTTCTCGTTTTTGTAATGCCTGACAAACCTTTGTCTAATTTTTGTTTACAGGTGGCTAAATCGATGGAGAGCATAATCTCACAATCCATGCTCATCCCGAACGATCCAAGAACAAAAGAGCTGCACCGGATGGAAACTCAGAAGATGTTAATTGACCAAAAAGCCAGGGCCGTGGTACGAGGGGAGCTCTACTGTGGGCTGGGTTTTTTGTTATTTCAAACGATCGGGGCCGTGAGGCTCACTTTCTGGGAGCTGACCTGGGATGTCATGGCGCCCATTTGCTTCTTCGTCACCTCCGTCCACTTTTAAGTTATTTATCATTATTAATCAATTTTATTAAATGTACTAAATAATAGAATTTATTCCTAACTAAAGTCCAAAAAAAATTAGGGCTCTAGTATGTTTCAGAAATAGGATTAAAGAAATCAAATAATACGAACACTTACGTAGGATGAAGAGCCATATTATATATTTAGGGTTGATGATGTTATGTAAATACAGTCCTAAAACCCATAAAAATACTTACATTAATTCCCTAACGTATCCAATTTTATCGTCGTTGTCAGGAATTGAACCAGATTACTAGGGTGACAAGCAGAAATACTTACCACTATACTACAACGACCTTATTGAAAAATTTGCACGTCTAATTTAAGTACGTCTAAAATACTGCCACTTTAAGTCCATGACTTCATTTTATATTTTATATATTTAACTACATGCAGAGCTGATGGAAGCTTTAAAAATCGGAGATAATCGACCCCATGATATCATCGTTTAGGATAGGTGCATTTTAACACTTTAATTATTGAGTTAATTTAATGGTGCTTAATTTCAAATACACCTATTGAGAATTCTTGTGTTTTCACAAAACTTCCTAGATTTTTGAAACTACACAAAACTCTTTCAATTACACAAGACCTGTAACATAAAAAGAAATGTTTCACTATGTCGGGAAGTTCGGTATATAACTCAGTATACCAAGTGTAAAAACATAATTAATTGGAAACTTGAAAAAAAAATATTTTCAACTAATTGTATTAAACTAAAAATTCCTTTAACATACGTGCAGAATAAGTCAAAATTACAAAAACACCCTCGCAGAATTCAACTAGTGGTTAGTTACAAATTTTGATTAAATCAAGTAAAATCCCAAAACTACTCGGCCAAACCCTAACAATCCACGCAAGAAGTGGAAATTTGAGTTTTAGCCCTGATCATCTCTGTATTGTAAATTTTTTTTGGGGGGGGTTGGGTTGGGGAAGAAATGGAAATTTGAGTTTTAGCCCAGGGTTGGAGAAGGCCTAAACCCAGCAAACTCCCAACAAGCAGTTGTAGTGGTTCCAGAGTTGCACAATTAAAACCCCAACCTACCACACGTTACTATTCGGGAGAAACCCACCCAACTTCATGTACCTAGGGATGACAATTCTAATCGTTAAACTCGATAACCGTCCGAATGGATTGGATTTGGATATGGAAATTCGGGTATATTTTGGGTATGGGGAAAAACCGTGAATATTATTCGGTTATGGTTTTGGATATGGTTATAGGGGTTCCCAATCCATATTCGTGCCCGAATCCAAACCGAATAATATATAATATAATTATATATAATATTTAAGTATTATATAATATATGTATATTCATTATTCACCGAATCTATTACCTTGAGAATACAAAAATTGCATTGTGTGAGTTGCATTTTATGGCAAAGTCAATAGTTTTGATATGAATCAAAATCTATGAGAATTTAATGGTATTTATGGGCGATATCAAAGATAACCA